TAAATAAATATATACATAATATATAGATTAAATAAATTTTAAAAAAAATTATTTTCTGGTACTATGTCTAGAATTTCTAGGAGCTTTTAGACTTGAACCTCTGCTATAATGTAGTTTAGATCTAGAAGTATTGGCAGAATAATTATCAGGAACTTCATTTAATTCTAAATTATAAAATAATTATTACCATATAACAAATTAATTAGAAATATAGCAAGTCATATAAAAACTATCAAATATATTAACAGATTCATGATTACTATTGGCATTATCATTATTGCTATTAGTAGTCCCTTCAAAAATTATATGAATAAAATATTAGGAAAAATCTTAAATAATTTGTATTAGAAACATTAAAAATCATACCAGATATGATATTAAGAATGATACCAGGAGAACTTCTACCACAAATTGTTTCAGGAGCATCAATATTAATAACGAGGCAGCAGAGTGATTATTTGCATCAAAACAATTAGTATCGGGGGTAGCAGAATGATTATTTTTGGGGGCATCAGAATGATTAGCATTGGGAGCAGCATAGTGGTTAGTATTGGGAGCAGAATAATAATTAGCATCGGGAGCAGCATATCGATTAGTATTAGGGGCAGCATTAGTATCAGGAGCAACAGCACCAGATTCAGACCCAGAATATGTATCAGAAGCAGAACCAGACAGAGCAAAACTAGATGGGGCAGAACCAGATACAAAATATGTATTGGAGACAACAGCACCAGACTCTAAATAATTATCAGAGTCACCACCAGCACCGGAAGAATTTATAACGAGACTAAGTGAAATAGCAGGAACGTAATTGCATGAAATACACCAGCTAAAAGCCCCAGCTAGTGGTGTTGAGTTATCATCAATATCAGTTTCCCAGCGATTACATTTTGGCTTATTATAATTTTGTGCTAGCGAAGTATCTTCGCATAGCAACAAAATTTGCTTTAACTAAAATGTATATAAAGCATATTAGTACTGGTATCAATATAGATATAAATTATCTATTGTAATAATTACTTTTTTCAACTGCCATCCTTTTTTTATGATCTTCACCACATGATTATTGCAGTCATCATCAAGAGGATGTTGAATCCTTTTCCTTCTTTCATCATCGGCAAGTTCATTATCCATTTCTGATATCTTATTGCTATAGTACCCACTTTTGGCCATAATTTTTTTTATGTCGTTCAGAGCTTGACGCTCTGAAATATCATGTGGGAGGAGGTTTTTTAGTTGTTCGCTTTTAC